TTTTTTTGATCAGGTTATGGTGCGCCAAATTTAATAACATCCTATGGAAAAATTCTTTGTATTATCTATACAGGAATAGGTTTAATTTTGGCATCGTTATTTCAACAAATATTACATCATCAATTAATACCAATTTTTTATCGAATTATTTTTCAACTTGCAATGAATCGGTATATTATTTATTATTTCACAAGATATCGTAGTTTTTTTGTTTCATTTCTATTGGTTACATTTTTAATAACACTCTTTTTTATTATAATTCCAACATTATTTATACATAACATGTATGTTCCAAAATGGTCTCTTATTGAATTAACTTATTTTGCTGTTACTACAAATTATCTTATTGGTTTTGGTGATCTTATGCCTTGTAGTGATTTATATGGACAAAGTCGATCGACATGTGCAATAATACTGACAAGTAGAATTAGCATTTCTTTTTGCTTCTATGCTCTCATATTTTATTTAATCTTTTTATTTTTAGTTTATGTGATCATTCAAGTACTTGCAGCTAGTATTCTTAGTCATATGTGGTTTATATTACCCGGAAAAAGTCAGCAATTTTTACGTCAACAACGACACCATTCCGATCCTAACATTAATATGATTGATAATAAAAATTTTTCTATAGATATAAACGATAAATTATTAGAAAATGTTTTTACATAGGTATTTGTTGTTAAATATAATAATATTTTCTGTTGTTATCTGTATATTATTCAATAATATACATTGTTTCAATATAACGAGCAAGATCGGGTCGATTTAGTTCTTTTGATGAAACTAGAGAATGAAGTTCAGCAACAGTTGGTTGAGGTGAAGCATAATTACACCAGGCAGAAATAACTCGTCCTGCTGGATATTGAAGATTTTGTGATAACCAATGATCAATTTCAGATTCATCAATTCCAATAAGTCGTGCTAATTCTACCCATTCTGCTGATCCATTTGATGAACTACTTGTTGATTGTCGTCGAAATTGTTGACGAGAACTTGAATCACTACTATTACTACCATAAGCTGAACCTACAATAATAATATTCAAAAACAAAAACAAAAAAAAAGAAAATAATAGCATTTAATAACTTACTCATTCTTGAAAGTGGTCTTTCATTATGACCACTTTTACTAAGTTCTTTTATAATTAACATACGTAAATTAGAATCCATTTTATTTACTAATACTTCACTAGCTAATGGAAGACGATATTTTGATGGTAAATTATATTTTATTTGTGATGGAATATCATATTGTTGAGGTGGAAAAGATGATGATGATGATATTGAATAATAATCACTATCAATATATTTTTCTTCTATTGAATATTGACTTGGTATAATGAAAGATGAAGCATTCATAAATGCTGATGGAGAAAGATTGTCTTCAATATTTTGTTCATTTGATATTATTGTTGATGGTAATATTCTTGTTTGATTAATATATGTTTCATCATCATCATTAAATACATTAACTTCATCAGCAAATGAAACATTTCGTTTTGCTGATGATGTTTGATGACTACGACGTTCATTTGTACTATCTCGATTTAATGAATAAGATTTTGATGGTATTTCATCATTTGATAATATATGTGTATTATCAATAATTTCTTGTTGTTTTTGTGGTTGATCAAGATCAAAAAAAGCATGTTGATCACGTAAACCACTGAGTACATCATCAAGTGTTTTTTTCGCACGTAATTTTTGAGCATCATTAACTGTATTAAAAATAAAAAACAAAGATTTGTTTTCTTTTCTTTTTGTTCTCTATTGATTAATTATTAAATATATAAACTTACTCGATCGTACACGAGGTGAAGAAAATATGAGACAAACATCTTCTAAATTTAATCGATGATGTTGAAGAATATCTTCAGTTTTATCATTTGGTTTCTTAAATATGTTCATTTCAATTTGATCAACTTAAAGACAAGAACAATATTTGATTGTGATATAATTATTTAAAATTGATAAAAATATTTGTTAATTTCTTTTTCTTTTTTTTTTAATTTCATACCTATTGTAGCATACATTATTTGTAATAATTGAGCATTTTCTTTCCATACATCACGTTCACGTGTAACAAATGTTAAACGTTGATCTGGTGTAAGACGTTTACGAAACATATCAGGTTCGTCAATAGATAATTGAGTTATTTTTTTTTGTACAGGAATTTTTTCATTATCATCAGCTTCTTGAAAAAGATTTAAAAAAGCAATACGATAGTAACATATTTCATCAATCATAGATAATAAATGATCAACAGATATATCGGATGGTTGTTGTTTTGTTAAATCAATTTCAATTTGATAATCATCCATATTAATATTTTCCATTATTCTTGAACAAATAAGGTTTAATTTCGAACGAATTTCTTCTCGTTCGCGTATTAATCCTTCGATTTCTTCTTGATGTGGATCATTTAAACCACTTTTAGATTTTTTCTTGCCTTTTTTACCTGTTGGTGAACTACTTTTCTTTCCACCTTTCTTTCCAGCAGATACAGGTCGTACAGGCATATTTATATAAAAAATAAAATAAAATAAAATATAAAAAGTAGATTTTTCATTCTTTCTCTTTAATCTTAATATTTATTTGTTCAACTAAATGAAAAATACATATATATTTTTCATTTAATATTTGCATGTGTTTATACACATACAATATCAATCAAAATTACAAAGTAGAATCAAATAAATGATATCATTGATGAAATAAATGAAGAATCAAACAAAATTCTCACCTCTTACAAATATTAATAACACGAACGATGACAACTTAAAAATAATGTGAAGTGTTTGACAAGTTTTTTTTTTCATTTTAAGATGAATACAAAATGAAAGAGAAAAAGTAAAAAATTTGATTATATTGTATTATATTATATCGAATGTCGATGTTTTTTGTACTTGAACTATGTATGTCTTACTCTCATGGACAACACATTTTCATTATAATGACAGCAAGTCAAAATAAAATGAAGAACAAAAAAAAAATAAAGAAGAAAAACGAAACATTTAATAAATTAAATTCAACTAGCAACAGAAGTTACATCAACAAAAAATCAAATATTCTCGGACAGCAATACATGTTGTTTTCATCATGTGATATACATAGAAAAAAAAACATTTATTGACTATTCTCAAATACTTGTTTTAATGGATTATTAAAAGAAAAAACTTGAGATTTTTTTTTTTTTGAAAAGTCATTAAAAGATCTGTTATCAAAAGTCAAACACTCATTTGTGTCTCAGTTTGAGGTATGCACATTACAAGAGAACCACATATGCTTACAGTTAAAAACATGTCAGTCATTACTTCAGAATCAAAACAGCCGTCATGAAACTTATATTTTTTTTTATACTGATCTTTATCTATCGTTCTAATGTAATATCGCTCATAAAGAAATTGTCAATAAAGATAAAGAAATTTATCAAATACAAAAGGTTTTATCAGTATAAAGCATTAAATAAATGATATGAATAGTCTTGACTTCGTAGAAAAAACGATTATTCTATAATTTATTTGCAGAAAACTTCTATTTACTTATTTATTTTAAAAAAAGTTATGGTAGCTATGAAAGTATACAACAGGATCTATGCCGTCAAATAATCCTACCTTAATTAATATTTCAACAATTTAGTATTATGAATTTTCGATTTCTGTTTCAATTTCTTATAAAAATAATTGTAAATGTTCAAGTTTATAAAAGAAGGTGCATCGAATCACAATCACAATGCGTGCAAACATATAATAGAACCATCCATTTTAACTATTGGCTTAATTCCATTAACTCATTCTTTCAATATATGTTTCTTTTCTTTTTTGTCTTATTTTCAAATAGATTTGAATTTTTTTCGAAATACGCAACTATTTCTCAACTTAAATTTACTATGTCCTCAATGTAACAAAAGTGAAGTTTCATTTAAAAAAAAATCGTAGGCGATTTATTTGAAAAAAAAGTAATCATACTGTACTGTATTCATTAACTGCAAAAATAAACTTCTATTGATGAGTATTGAATACGATAAGATCAAGATTAGAATTCAAGATAAACCTTTAGTTAAAAATAATTGAAAAACTTTCAAACAGTATCTATAGCAAAATGCCATGCAATTACTTGTATACTTTGAATGATCGTAGGAGTTTGAAAAGAAAGGAAACATAATCGGAAACTAACACATCCGGTTTCGTTTTTCTCCGACTATGGTGTTCATTAAACATTTGAATTAGTCGTTCCGTATAGAGAAAATATTCACAATTAGTATTAAAATGTCATGTTAATCTCATATAATTTACAAATTGGATGTTGATGTTATATGTGGATCAAGTAACGGAAATAAAGTTTTTTTTGCTTATCAAACTAATTCTATTAATTAATCTTAATTAGTCATTGAAAAAGTGAAGTTGAAATGTTTACTTAAAAGTTAATAATGAATATTTCTCACTTGAATTCTTTAAAATTACTATTCGAAATAAAATTTCAAGTTACATTGATCATTATTTCAGTCTATTTACTAATTGATCTATTTTATGAATGACAAAATTCAGAAAGTTAATTTAATATTATAAGTCATAGAATTGGCACATATAGTTCTATTGAAGATTTTCTCAAACATTAAATTGAACACATAATTAAATTTTATTTTAAATCAAGCGATAACTATTAACTAATAACTCATTTTAATTGAAGTTCAACATAAATGAACGACATCTATGATTGAATTTTTCATTTGAACATTAATGATTGTTTATTTAATCGTTGATAGTAGTTGCGGTTGCGTGTCTGTTCATCTATCGTCAATTCTTCATCATTATTTGTTGAATCAAATATTTATTCTCAATATGAATTCATTTCCAATGGTTGAACAAGAAGAAACTTTATTTCTTCTTGATGAACAACCACCACCAAATTTACAAAAATCTGAAAGTTTTGATGATGATAATAAAAATCATGGTTTAAAATCACTTCAACGTATTTTATCAGCATCAGCATCATTAGCATCAACAAATCAACCACAACCTTATAGATCTTTATCAGCTCATGATTTAACTCCACAATTACATACAAATGATTATGGTTTACCACCAACAAATCCATCACGACGTTCAACAACTCCAACAACACGTAATAATATAAATGATATTGATACATTTGTTCGTCAATTTGAAATACGTCTTCGTGAACATCGTTTAATTTGGCAAAAAGAATATGATGCAACAGTTCAACGATTAAATGAAACAAAAAATAATGAATTCGAAGCATTAAAAAATCGTTATGAAACAAAATTACATACATTAGAAGATGGTAATAAACAATTAGAAATAATTTTAGAAAAACTTAATGAAGAAAATCAACGATTAAAATTTGAAATTGAACATCAAAAACAACAAACTAAAACTGAACAAGTTATTTATTTATTAATTTATTTTTTGTGTTTTGCAAAAATTTTTTCTGTTTTTTTTTTTTGTTCTTAGGTAACTATTCAAGAACATTTAAAAGAAATACAAAATGAAATGGAACGAAAAGTTCAAGAAATAAAAAATTTTTATGAAAATGAAAAACAAGATATAAAACGACAACATTCACGAACATATCAAGATTTATTAGATGAAACAAATCAAGTAAAAATAAATTTATTTTTCTCTGATTAGTTATATGAAGAAAAAAAAAACAAATTATTTTTAGCGTTTAAAAAAAATGGAAAATGATTATAAATCTCAACAATCAACACATGATTCAACAATAAATGAAATGGAAAGACGTATGGTTGATTTACGTTCAAATCTTGATCGTCTTCAACAAATGAAATTAAAACTTGATGAAGATAAAATTTCATTAGTTAAAAATAATGAACAATTACAATTACAGGTGAATATCAGATTTTCTTTTTTTTTCTCTATATAGAAATCCTAAGTCTCATAATGAATGTTTGACTTCGGATTCGGTGAATAAGATAGAACTTAGTGAGATATACAAAAACTTCAAAAAGATAAGTTCACTTAGATGTTCTATTCAGAGTTATAGGCATTTTACTAGAATTTTAGCATCTGACTTGGTATATACCAATAAAACGAATAGTCGTATTTCAATTTGAGAGTTTGTTCATAGACAGATCTATTTGTTAGTAGAATGCCATGGAAATCTCAGTTCAAAAGAATGCTTCCTTCTCGAGATATAAAAATCTCGAAAATCAGTTATTTTCTACGAAATGTTAGAGTTTTCTGTTTTCTGGAACTTTAATATTTCAGAAAGGAAACATCTTTTTTTGAGCTGAAATTTTCAGAGCATTCTACTAACAAATAGACTTGTCTATGGAAAAAATCTCAAGTCGAAATACCATCATTCGATTTGTAGGTATATGCCACAAGCCAGAGGCTAAAATTCTAGTAAAATGCTTATAACTCTGGATAGAAGGTCTCAGTGTACTTGTCCTTTTGAAGTTTTTTTTATATCTCATTCGGGTCTATCTTATGCACAGACTTGGAATTCAAAAATGACTGATTAGTTGAAAATGTTCTTTTATTCTTAATATGAGACCTTATCTTGTTAAGAAAATTACAAGACCTTGAATTAAGACATTGTTGTTTAGAATATAAGTAATCCTATGAACTGGTTATTAAGTGATCGATTACATATTATGTTGAGAACTTATTATTATGTAACAACGAAATTTGATCTTCTTTTAAAGAAATATGATCTAACTAAAGCATAGAATGTGGCAATGTACTCCGCTTCAAGCTTCTTATTAATATGGTGATGAGTTTTTTTTTTTCGTAGATCTCAAATGAAAATAGCTTCAACTTAGATATACATATAATTTCTACTCAATTATGATTTTAATAGAAAGTTTGTCGAATAGTTATCGATAGGTTTTGATTCGTAGAATACAAGAAGGTTTCGCTAAAACTACAAAAAGTTAAAAGTGATTTTTCGTGTTCATGGATCTCTGGAGCCGAGTTATGGCCGTTTCACTAAATTTTCGCTCCAGGCTTAGATATTTACCGAAAAATCAAATGACAGTAATTCGACATGAATTTTGCCGATAAACAGGTCGAATGACTAGTAGAATATCTTGAAAGTTTCAACCGCAAAGAATGTTCCTTAATCGAGATATATTGAATGTTCAAAAACTGGTCATTTGCCATGAAAATCCAGTTTACTTGAAAATTCAATATCTCAACAAAGGAATATTTCATTCAGCTGAAACTTTCAAGATAGTCTCCTAGTCATTCAATCTTTTGACGGACGAAATTTCGTTATTCGATTTTTCGATAAACACCTAAAACTGGATCGAAAATTCAGTAAAATGATCATAACTCAGCTCTAGAAACTCATAGGCATGAATTCTTTCAGAATTTTTCTAATCTTACCGAAATCTTCTCATGAATCCAATATGAACTCAAACGACAGGTATCAGTTCGGATAGTTCCTTCGTTAGTAAATGAAAGTTTTCTTCTAGTAGAAACTTTACTCTTTCTAATAAGAAAAATATCGAGTCTTCATGACGAGATATTGTTACGCTATACTAAAAAACGAAAAAATCAATGCAGAACTTTTGCATCATTGATAATGGATTTTATTTCAAATAGAAAAAAAAAAGAATCTATTTTTCTTATTTAGATACAAGAATTAACAAATAAATTACGTCATGCAGATCGTGATCATGCTGATCAAATTCAACGTTATGAAAATGAATTAAAATCTCTTCGTCTTCGTAATGAATCAGGTGTTGATTTATTACGTAAAGAAAATGATTTAACAAAAAATAAAGCAACAAAAACAATTGATGAATTAGAAAAACAATTATCAACAATAACAGAAAAATTTTATGATATGCAAAAATTATTTGAACAAAAATTAAATGAACAACAAACATCATATCAAAATAATATTCATCAATGTGAAAATGATTATGAAAAAAAAATACAATTATTAAAACAAGAAATGAAACAATTAAATGATAAATTTCATTTAGCTATACAACAAAATGAACAATTACAAAATGAATTAAAACAAAAACATCAAGAATTTAAACAATTAAATGAAACATGTTTACAACAAAAAGATTTAATTGAAAAAAGTGAAAAAGCTTTTGCACAAATTAAAATTGATTTAGAAAAAAAATTTCATGACAAAGTAATTTTTATATGTCTTAGAAAAGTTTTAAGAAAATTTTTTCATCAGATTTCAATATTATCAGGTGGAAAACAATAAGGACAATTAATGTTTCATTAAGTACATATAAAGTCAGGATCGAATGAGTAATGATAAGATATTTTCAATATTAATCATTAGATGTAATCAAATGATTCATGAACTAAATATTGACAATTTCATAGGTGTTCCTATAAATTAGTTGAAATTATTTTTTTTCAGACTTATGGAAAATGTGAATATGACTAAGAACATCTAATATAGACACTCAGCAATCATATAGTAATAAAATTGTGTCATTTTTACCTTCTAAAATCTAACGTTTGAAATTGATCTAATTTTGATTAAATCATTCGCTAAGTTTAATGAATCACTATTATAAAAAATATCGCTTCCACTCAAAATGTGTTGCTCCTGGTCTCGACCAAAAAAAAATTGGTCGCGATTCCGAAGCTATCTCTTGCTCATATCTACGTTATGTACTTACTATCACAACTAAGAGAGAATGATATTATTACTTAATCTATGTCCTTCTTCAATGGAAGTGAAATATATAAATTCTCATCGAATTCGCTTTTCAATAAACTCAAGTTTACTTTCTCCTGGTCTAACGTTTCTTCTTCTATAACTAATAGATAATTTTTCTTTTCTCAGTATAGCTTAGAAATTGTACTAAAAATTTTCTTTTGTCTAATTAGATTCAAGAAATAAATGATAAAGCACGTCAAAATGAACAACAATTAATCGAAAATTTAAATCGTGATCATGTAAAAGTTTGTGAAAAACTTAAACTTGAATACGAACAAATCAAAGAACAGTACGTATATATATTTAAATTCGATATTAAAAGAAAAAAATATTTAAATATTTGAATACTATTTTTAGAAATGAAGAAAAAATACGAACAAATTTTAATAAAGACATCGAAGAAATTAAACATAAATATGATCAAGCTACGGAAAAACAAGAACAAAAAATGAAATATGATTTACAACAAATTGATAAATTATCTGTTGACAAAAAACTTGTACATGAAAATGAAAAACAAAAGGTTTGTTTATAGTAAAATTATTCAATAGTCTATATATTTGTTTTTCTTTTCATTACATATAAGTCCATTTCCTTTTTTTTTTTATATAACAACTTCTAAATATTATTAATTATTTTATTTCCGACTTTCTTAATAATCTTTCATTTTACTAAAACTTACGTATAATTAGTTTTTCTTGAATAGCTCATCAATGAATATGAACAATTTATTCGAAAAATTGAAAAACAACATAATCAAAAAACTGATGAATACGAAAAACGTATTGAAATTTTAATTTCAAAAACTCATGAACAATTAAAATCAATCGAAGGTTGGTTAACAAATATTGAATAAAGACAAAAAATGTTTTCTTTTTCTTTTTTCTATTAAAATTTATTTCAAGATGAATTTTCAGAACGTAATTCTAAACAACAATCTATTATAAATGATCAACAAAAAATGATTCAAGTACTTAAAGATGAACAAAATAAAACCAAAGCATCTTATGAAAAACAAAGTTTTGCATTAAATGAACAATGTCTTCGTGAAAAAAATGAAATAAAAGCTGTATGTTTCTTTTTGTTAATAATTAAATAAGAAAAATTCTGATTCATATATTTTTTTTTGCTTTTAAGCAATTTGATTTATGTATGAAAAATCTTGAAAAAAATTTCAATACATTAACATTAAAAAAAGAACAACTTGAACGTAAATTATCATATTTAAATGAACAACATAAACATGAATTACTTGAATGTCGTTTAACATATGAAAATAATTTAAAAGGTTTATTATCAAATGATGTTCGAATTGATTTAGAAAATACAATACATTCATTAAAACAACAAGTTGTTTATTTACAACAACGTATTGCTTTTCTTCAACAAGAACTTGAGCAGTATATACAAATTTATGGTCATAGACCATTTGCACAACCATTAGTTAAAACAACAAATCAGGATTAAATCTCAATCAATATATTTCTGCGTGATATTTGCAGTTTGTAGATTTTTTTTCTTTTCTGATATTTGACACTTTTTTCATTGATCTTAACTTTTTTTTTGTTGTTGTTTTGTCGTCTCAATGTAAAATGCCACTTGAATGCAGTATGCTAGCTATTACTAAATAGAAAAAAAAGTATTTCTTATATCCGTCCATGTTGTGTTTTTAAATTCTTTTGCTTCGAATATTTCATTGCATGTTTGAAGAGAATTCAATAAATCAGTAGTTTTAATTTATTTTTCTCATTTTTTTTCCTTCTCAATAACTAAAGTAATTTAGAAAAGGAGATTTGAACAAAACAGAATGTGATTGGTGTATTGAATTTTTTTTTTGTCAATCACGTACTTATTGACATATACTTTTGTCGATAACGAGGTTTCTTTTCTTTTCTTTCGTTCTTCAAACTTTTTTCTCACTTGATTAAAGGTGGGTGTCTACTCGTCACCGTTGTCCCAATACACAGGTATTGTTCCTAATGATGACATACAACATTACCCACTATTCTCTATTCAGAAGCTCAATATTTGTATGAAAAAAAAAACATAGTAATGTATTCATTAATGTATAGTCGTTCGTTTCACATGAATGAAATTTTAAATGAAGTGAAGAGGAAAATGGTTGGTGACAGTCTCGTACAGAAAAAAATTGTTCTGTTCTTACACATAAATATATAGAACGATATAAATGATTAGTACACATCTTTATTTTTATTTGTTTAGATAAAATATTTTTACTAATGGAAACTATACAATTATTAAATAAAAATCAATTTTTACGTGAATATTTTAATTCAAGTCATTTACGTATAACACCATGGATACGTGATCCAAATGGTTTACATCATCCATTTGTATTCGAATTTGAATTAAAATTTTTTGATAGAACTTATGCTAATAATATTTATCTTTGGATGAATAAATGGTGGTGGTTAAGTATTGTTTATTCACTAATGTATGTTATTTTAATTTATTATGGTCGATCATTAATGGAATCTCGTGAACGTATTGAAGCACGTTTACCATTAATATTATGGAATTTAGGTTTAGCTGCATTTAGTATATTTGGTATGCTACGTTGTGTACCGGAAATGTTATATAGTTTAACTCAACGAGGTTTAGAATATACAATATGTGATCGAAGTAATATATATGGTATAACTGGTTATTGGTGCGTAAAAATAAAAAAAAAAAGAGAATTTAATTTATTATTATTATTTGTTTTTTTTTGCTCTGATTTAGGATAACAATATTTTGTATATCAAAAGTTCCAGAATTTATTGATACATTATTTATTGTATTAAGAAAACAAAAACTAATTTTTCTTCATTGGTTTCATCATGCTACTGTTTTAGTTTATGCTTGGTATAGGTATGCGAAAAAAAACCCTAAATTTTTATTCAATTAGATTTAATATTATATGTAATAGCTATCATGATTGGACAGCCAGTGGACGATGGTTTGTTTTTATGAATTATACAGTTCATGGTAAGTTTAAGAAAACAACAAATATAAAGTGTTGGAAATTCAAAATTTTAACAAATTTTTGTTTTCAATTTATTTAGTGTCATTACATAGAGTGTATTGAGTTATCAATGAAAAACTAATTTTTCGTTTGTTGGAAACGATTTTTTCCTAGAAATATTCGAAAGAAAAAACTAAATTTTAAATATTATACTGTATCACAAATATGTAATTTTCACTTTGCAGAATATTATTAGAGTTATTATCTGATTCTGCAGACAAAATTGACCAAATACACCTTATATACATAATGTTGTTTTGGTCAATTTTATCTGCCGAATCAGAAAATAACTCTAATCATGATATTTAGAATTTAGTATTTTCTTCGAATATTTCCATGAAAAACTGGTTTCTAAAAAAGAAAAAAAGATAAAGTAGTTTTTCACAGGTAATTCAATGTACCATATCGAACGACACTAAATAAATTGAAAACAAAAATTTGCTAAAATTTTGAATTTTGGATACGTTAACTTATTTTTGTAAATTCGTTTTGTGTTAAGCAATGATGTATTCATATTATGCATTTCGTGCGATGCGATATCATATACCCAAATGGGTACAAGTAACAGTAACAGTTTTTCAATTATCACAAATGGGTGTTGGTTGTTTTGTTAATTATAAAGCTTATGTTTATAAACAAGCAGGAGCCACATGTTATGTTGCTTATGCAAATATATTTTGGTCATTTGTTATGTATGCTGTTTATTTTGGTTTATTTCTTCATTTCTTTTTCGTAAATTATTTATTCAAAAAGCCAACAACCAACACAAAAATTGATGAACAAAAAAAGAACAAATAAATATTTGTTATTTTTTCTTCTAATTTTTTTTAAAAATTTTTTCATTATATAGTTCAATTCGTTTTTCTTTTCTTTTTCATTGTCTTGTTGTTAACTATAAAAGACAAAATAGTTTATGACCTTATTAATTCAATAACATCAGGGACGATCGATGAAAAACATTTGATCGCTCACCTGATCATATATCTATTGTCATGAATTTTGTTTTTTTTTCTTACTTTTTATGTATTAATGTGTTTTTTTCTGTTTATCTTATCTCATAAACAAACGCTGAACTTCTGAGTCATAAAAAAATAGATATTTTACGCGAACAACAGACATGGAACATATGTCAATATGTATTGTTTTTTTTTTTATGATAATGATGTCGTATTGTTGTTTTTTTAATGCTTCTTTTAAAAAAAAGCACACCTGTCGTAATGATGACATTAAAAAAATAGATCTGATTCCTATGAGAATTGAACTAATGATCTTCTTGTTATCTACTGAATTTATTTGGATAGAAGGTAATAAAGAAAATGAGATCGATTATGAAATGAACAGTAAATGAACGTTGTAATTTTGTCATTGATGAATAATTCAGTGTGGGAACTAAGAGGACCACGCCGAAAGTGAAAATCTGGATAAAATACTGGAATAATTTCAATGGTATTTTATCAATTGAGCTAAGGAATTTTAAATGTATAATATGAAAAACATTAATCAGAGATATTAATAATCCCTATGAAATAGCTTGATTCTTATCAAAATTTATAAATATACAACATGAGAATTTATTTTGGAGAAATTTTCTTTTTTAAAAGATAAAAAGAAAGTCATTCTAATGCGTTGATCAATAGACTTTAGTAGTCAATGTTAAATATTCATGTGATCGAGAACAATATGTTTTAATTCATCAATGCTTTTTACATGTGATTTTTTTCTGACAAACGTAACTACACTAAATGTCAATCAAATACATGAGTAAGACGTACTGACAAATGCGTAAACGATGGCATTAAGTGCTTTTTTTTTTCTTTCTTTTTTTGCTTCTTGTTAACTTATCGTAGAATCATTTTTTTCAAGGAATATTAAATGTAACGTTATAATTCTACTTTATTATCGATTTAATCTTATAAGATAGACTAATAAATGTCATAATAGTTACATAAATGTTGCTCTTCAGGTACGATGAATTACTTTATACAATCACATAGACACTTTAAAAAAATGCATACTTAACAAAATATAAGTATATGCTAGCCGACGAAAAGAGGGAAGTCCTATGATATTTTTTATTTATGAAATATACTTGCCGTCAGATACATTAGGTAAAATAGACAGATAAGAAATGCAATAGATTCTTGAAAATGTTCAAATTTTTTTTATTCAATATTGATGGGGTTCTCTGGAAAATAAAACTTGAATAATTCTTCAGCAATTCAATTGATTTATATGCTTTTTTCATTATTTAATTTCATACTCAGTCAAATTTGACAAAGAAACATCAAATAAAGATGACATTAAAGAGTTCTCTCAATAATTCTATCAAAATGATATTATAACAGATCAAGAAAATTCTAAACGCTTTACAGTAATGACACAAAGAAAAAGTCACTAATGTTCATGTTTACAACGAACGTATGTCGAGATCAATTGTTCCAGTTGTTTGCAAAGTTTGTTCAATACCATATATTGAATCATAGCAGAGCTCAGTAAATAATTCAAAATAAAATTAGACTTCTTCGGGTTTCCAATTAATAGAAATTTTAATAACCAAAAGAGTTTTCTTTTATTAAGATTTTATAGATGAATTATGATGGTAAGGTTTCTAAAAATAGGACAAGGTACAGTCAATATCCCTAATAACAACACTAAAAAAATTTTCTTCCTTGCTCGACTTGGTTCTCGGCTATTTTACAGTCGAATCAAAATATTTTTATGTTTGCATAATCTGCAGAGTCTCCTCTTTCAAATGATGTATTAATAGCCTTCCTCTGAAATGTAATCGAGGAGAAATCATCAGTCTACGATTATGACCTGCTTTTGTTGTTATTAGGGGCACTTTCCCTAATTACAATAGTCAGCTAAATTTTGTCCCTAATAACAACACTTCCACCGAAATTGGTGTATGAGTGTGCATAAAACAAAAACTAATTTCCATTTTAATAGCCTGATGGATTGTGATCGTTTTCCACAACTTTATTTCATTTTTCATGATAAGTGAAATTTTTGTGCCTGTGGTTCCCTTGGGTATTCGAAAATTTTTTTGTCTTCGTTTGAGTTGTCACATTTATAAATCGATAGAACTCAGTGTTTTGATTACGAATATGATATTATTTTTCAAAATTCATCGAGTAATAAGAAAAATCTAGAGTATTTAAGATAGGCATAAAAATCAGTTTT